ATTTCTTGGTATGAATGAGTGAGTGCATCCTGTGCCACCTCGCTTTCTTGAAAGATTTCAATTTTTATTCCATCAATTCCTGGTGCCTTGTTCTTTGCCAATTCCTTCAATGGACTGCCTTCAATGCACCTTGGACTTCCTGATAGATATTACTATCCCATTTTATAGATAAGGCAACTGAGACTTAGCAAGATTAAGGTCCAAAGTTACAAAGATAGTAAGTGTAAACCAAGATTCAAACCCATTCTGGTCAGGATAAGGAAACACTTCTTTTCTAAGGCTCCTAGAACAAATGTGCTCTAGTTATTATCCCACAATTGTCTTAAGATCCAACCTTAGTATTGTGACAAATTACTTTGCATGCTGTGCCTGACATACCTGACATATGGACAGCTTTGGGTAAGAATTGGTTAAGACCATGTAGCTATTGAACATCTATCTCACAGGTGCCTTGATAGAATGGCTTGTGGGTGTTGAGAATATCAGAATCCTAGAACATCACTGATAACTTCTGCTCTTTCTCCCTTGCAGAGCCCAGCAAGCGGATTCGAGGAGCCCTGGGGTCCATTGCCCTCATTGGCTTGATGGGCACAACTGTATGCTCTGCTTTCCAGCATCTCGGTTGGGTTAAAAGTGGCTTGGGCAGTGGATCCAAATGCTGCCATTAAAGAATCAATAGGGGCTTACAACTCTCATTCATTTTGAATGACTTACCTTAATTTCCAGTTATATTTTTTTTTCTAAATATAATAAAACCTATCTGGCATCAGCCTCATACCTAAACCTCCTGACTTCCTTTTCTTTTTTTCTTTTGTTTTATTGAGTCCCTATCTAAAATAAGGGAGTCCTAGTGTGGTGTTGTGGGTTAATGAGCCAGACTGCAAAGTCATTTGAACTGCAAGGTTGGCGGTTCAAGCTCACCAGCTGCTCCTCGGAAACCCTATACAGAGTCACTATGGGTCAGAACCGATGGCACTTAACAACAACAATCTAAAATAAGTGTCCCTATTAGATGAGAGAGAAGACTTGGGTACTGACAACTCCTCACACTGCTGGTGGGTGCTTAGTATGTGAAGTTGAGAAAAAGTCTTAATTGTGTGATATGTTCACAGTCATACCATAATGGTAAGAAATTGGGGTTCAAATTTATACTTGTAGTTAGCATATGAGATCATGGTACCTCTGTAGAATAAGCACTGAGCTGCTACCCAGAAGGCCGGCAGTTCAAGTCCACCAGCTGCTCCTCAGGAGAAAGATGAGGTTTTCTAATCCTGCAAAGATTTATACCTGGAAGTCCTAGACTGGGTCTTATTACTCAGAACCGATTTGATGGCGCTTAACAACAGGATATAAGATTATTTTATCATTTGATACTAATATTTAAAATACAAATTTCTGTAGACTAGAGCAGTAGGCTAAATTCAAGATGGAATTTATGAATGAATATAACTCCCTTTATGTGGATACGTGCACCTAATTGCAAAGATACAAATGGGGAAGGAAGTGCTTAGCAACAAATGTGAGAGACTTAGAGATCAATGCAAGTTAGCAGGTAAGAGAGCTGCTCTAAAAACTAACGTGGCCTTGACGTCTTATTAACAGAAATATAGTGTCTAAACCTACATGGTCTGCAGTGGATGTTAACTAAATGTATTTAAGTTTAAGTTAATGAAATTTACATAAAACAAAAAAATAATCAATTTTTCAGTCATACAGTAACCACATTTAAAGTAGCCTATAAGGTTGGAGTCCTGATGTGGCACTGTAGGATCAGCACTGGATTGCTAACCACAAGGCTGGTGGTTCCAACCCACCAGCCGCTCCTTGGACACGTTATACAGGGTCACTATGAGTCAGAAGTGACTCAATTTAACAACAACAACATGAGGATTTCAACCCAAATCTGACTCCAAAATCCAAGCTTTTTCCATTGTACCACTACTGCACAAGGGAGAGGAGACATTTTCAGACAGATGCTAATCTCTGCCACTGAAGACAGGCAACCTTGGCCAGATGACCGATGGGGCTCTTGGGCATCTGATGAGAAAATCAGATTAGAGTGGATCTATGAACAATTTCACTAGCATAGAACAACATATGAAAAAACTTTTTCATAAAACTCTTAACATTTCCTTTTTACATTAAAATGCCCTTTTACAAAATGTTGGAGACAATAATGGCAGTTTTGGGGTTTTCTTGGTTTTGAGTTGGGAAAAATAATTTAAAATTGTAATCAACTAAGTGTGCTTGTTTTTTGTTTGCGGGAGGGGCGGTTGGGTTGGGGGCTTTTTTTGCATATAACACATGCATCTGAAGGATCTGGAGAGCTTAAGGCTTCCTTTCCCATTTGTACAAATTATAGACATCAGTGAAGCTGGTCAGGAAGACTTGGAGACAAAGTTGATTTTTCATCTTTGTTGAAGTCTTAGCAGAGGATATATTTAATAGTAATATAATCTGTCCTTGTCATTCTATTAAGAATGAGCCCAAATGATGTATTACTTAAAAGAAATCTTATAAGGAACCCCAATACAAAGACTTCATTTTGCTCTGATCAGCCATCAGCAGTCATGGAAGCAGCAGTCAAGAAATCAAACGACGTATTGTATTAGGCATATCTGCTGCACAAGACCTCGTGAAAGTATTCAAGAGCAAAGATGTTAGTTTGAGGACTAAGGTGTACCTGACCCAAGCCATGGTGTTTTTAATAATTTCATATGCATGTGAAAGTTGAACAGTGAATAAGGAAAACCATAGAAGAAGTGATGCATTTGAGTTACGGTGTTGGAGGAGAATATTAAACGTACCCTGGTCTTTGCTGGCTACTAGGATGTGGGGAGTGCAGTGAGAGGGTGGAGGAGAAGGTGGAGCACAGAGTAGGGTGCTAGGGAGGGGGGCAATATACAAGAAGGGAAAGGGGAATGGAAGAATAAAGCAAATGGGACAATTAGGCAGGTTTACATGGGCTAAGTAGGACAGAGGTAAATAATGCATGCACAACCTTGGAACAACAGGGCTCTGGGATACAGGGATTGAGACATGGTTGGAATGGGGAAAAGGGGGTAAATAATGTTAAGATATTTGACTGTCTTTTGAATCTTGGTTTCCCTTGCATACCATTATAAAATAGACACTGGAGGGGGAGAGAAAGGAATAGCCA